CCCAAAACAGCAGAGTCTCCTAACACTTCTTTTGGCAGCAAGCAGTGTGTTTCCCAGCGTAAGATGGGATGTGGTCCTTCGTGCCTGTGCCAAGCTTGATGCAAAAAGCAAACTTGGAAAGACCTTCTACATGGTTTGTAATACTAATTCTACAAAAGAAGATTAAAGAAATCACATTGGAAGTCAACCTTTGTATCTTTTCAACCAGCTTTAGACACATAGGTCTGAAAAGTGCACAAAGCGGAGATCAATCAGGGAGCCCAGAGTTTTGGGAACACGCTTCATGTGCAAATGTGAAAACACTTGAGGGTGTAGAAAGTGTCATTTTGATTAATGAGGGCTACAACATGCTATTTGTATATAGATGAGAACATAAAAGAATAGGAAACAATCACATTTTAAAATATTAACACAATTTTAAAACAGACTTTGAGCATGGTACAGATACAGCCAGTTCTTTTGAGCTGATCTCACACAAGACCTGAGGAGGAGAGGAAGAGGTGCATGTTTGTGTAACATTATGAACCTTTAAAGATAAACTCTGTAACACAAAACCAACAAAATGAACCATTTGGTAGTTTCTGGAACTGCACATCACAGGTGGCAGAACCCAGGCTGTATCATAAGCATTGTGCATTACTCAGATTCTCTGAAGTCTTCCACTGGTTTGAAATTACCTCACAAAATAAAAATCACAGTCCGAAAGGAAATCTTAAGAATAATATCCATTGTACTTGATTGGGAAACACTATGGTTAGGTGGTGAAGGGCAGGTGAGAAATCTTCTGCCTCTCCAATCACCTTGGAATTGCTGGGCAGACAGTTGAGAGTAAAAGCTGTTCACTGCTGTCCATGAAACAGTAAGTGCAGCTGAGAAAAAAAGATGAGGAAAAAGAAAGTTGATTTAGATCAACTAAATCTTTTTGTGCATGTTCCAGGTAAAGGTAGAGGGGAGAGTTGAGCAAGGCCACAGAGAAAAGGTTATCAGCTGAATGGACAGTATGGACAAAGCCCACCTTCAAGTCCGTAAGACAGCACAAATATACAACTGAGGTTTATCTGTTGTAAAGAACTATGCTCCATTGTATCATATTTTCCATTTATCGTGCCTAAGGGACCCATATTATTTCTAACAGACCTCTTAGGTACAACAATACTAAAATCATCATGCCTACAGAGGAGCCAACACTGAGAATTATGATGAAAATCTTTGTTTTAGATATTTGGATATTTTACATAGTTTGGATATTTTAAATATCCACAGGAGAATATGTGACCTTAGCTATAGTTGTCCAAAGTCCACAAAATTCCCACTCAAGATGTTTAAACCTTAAGAGTATCCCAGTCCTAAATCTCTGCTTCCATGAATGCTGGACATTTGTATGAAAGTATCCAGAGAAACACAGAAGCACATGCCTTTCAAAACTTTTCATTCTGACCTGGCCATACACCAGAAGCCATGAATTTGGACTTTACCACTCCTTGGAGCCTTCCAAAACCATTAACCAGGAACCTAGAGTACATGCATCTCCTAATGAACTGACAACTTGCTACTGAGACTGAGATGTGCTTCCATAGGCCGTTGGGTAGAGGTTAGAATTTACCTTCTTGGAGTTCATCCCCCTAAAACCACAATGACAAAACCCCACAGAGATTAGGAAGTCACACTTGCATAAATGTTTCATTAGTTCAAAGATTCTAAACAGAGGATAAAGATCCTGCATACCCCATTTGAGAAATAAGGATGACATTCAGAAATACTTAAGAATGCAAAAGCAGCCTATTTTAAAATGTCAAAAGTCCACCTATCCAAAACCAGAGCTATTCACAGCCTCAGATGTATTTCCAAAACTTAGTATGTGTTTCATGTCCTATAACACAATCAAGTCTCTTCCCCAAACACATCAGATAAGGGGGAAAAAAATCAGACTACACAAACACAATGCTCTCAGGTAAGAAGAAAGCAGCTCAAGTTCCCTTTCCTTTTCCTCAGTGTTATCTTCATCAGAGCTCATGGTCTCAAGGACTATCTAAAGTAGCTGATTGCTCTGTGGAGCTGGTATTCAAGTCATTCCCTCATGTAAAATTTAGTGGGACATAGACAACTGTAAGTTTCCACCAACAGAGAAACAAGACAGTCCAAGGTTTTTAGGGAAGAGCTTTTTCTTAAACACTGTAATGACTCTTTGGCCTGTGCCAGCAGCAAACAAGGAAGGGACATCTCAGAAGATGCAACATAATCAATTCACAAACAATGGCAAAAGTTATTACTGTACTAAAAACAATCCAAAACTCATTCTACTTACTTATTTAAGGTTCTGCACAACCTAAAGGACAAATTCCAGTGGTTAAATTGCAACACAGAAACCTCTGTCTGAGACTGATCTCTGAGGAGGCAGTTCCTGTTTGGGAAGCCCAGAGAGTCTGTACCTCTACTGGCTGCTGCAGTCCAGGACATACAGGAGTTTTCTCAGAACTTGCTTCAAAACTACATTAGAGCCTTTTAGTCATTACAATGCCACAAACCCCATCAGAACCTGACTGGTGGCTGGTTGACATCATGAGAGTCTGTGGTCTCCACTTTGAACTCCAGTAATGATTGTAATCATCTTTAACAGTGGCTTTAATTTTCAAGTGGTATTACTACCCTGCACTGCCTGGAGTATGTTGCAACAATCATATGCAACTATAGGAAGGTAAATTTCAAACACAAATTTTCCAGTTGAAAGAGATGGATATAGAGTCTGGGATGATGGCTGTTACAGGAACACCTCAAACCAAGTCAGTACACAAGACTGCTGATGCTGTCCGTGATGTTTTGCAAAAGGACAGTGACACAATGAGTTTGGGGTGCAAGTGGATCCTCATTAGCTCACTTAAGTCTCTTTGATGCATCAGTACCATCTCAGCTTGGTTTAGACTAAGTCATGACTGACCCAACCCCCCAGATCATTTGGTCAGCTCAGCTGCAACGCATGTGAAGGAAATTCAGATTAGATGTTACTGCTGTTTCTGCTAATATTGGTACTTGTTCGTTGGGACTGTGAGAGAATAGGTCTTTGTGGCCTCCCGTGGGAAAAGGTTTGACTCTATAGTTAGCAAGAGGTGACTGCATTCTCCTATCTTTTTCTTTTAATGCGAATACATCCCAAAATAATTACTTGTGGAAAGCCAAGAGGTTCATACTTCAGACCACAGGCAATTTGAGTGTGTAAAACCACAGCACATTAGCTGTTCTTTCAAATCCTGTCATGAGCTAACAAGAGTGGGTCTGTCACCCAGACTTCCCCACTATGTATTTCTGGAAATGTAAGTAATAATAATATATTTCTCATACATAGCACCCAGAAATGTTTTAACTGAAAAAGACTGCTTTTGTTTCAAAACTGCTTTCCTAAAATGCTTGGTGGGTAACTTACATAAGATTCCAAAATGTAACTATCAGACAAAGGAAGAGGTAGGTCCAAAAAAGATCGTTCTCTTTGAAAAGCCAGAATTTATCCTGCATTCTGCTTTACTTCTGGAAGAGAAATTCTGCATTTTCCAAAAGTTTTGGAAGCTGTATCAAAGACAGATTTATTCACATCCTCCCAATAAAAATACATTACTGCTGTTACTCAGCACATTCCAAACATTCACCTTTGTTTTACCCTTTATTTTATAGGTTTTCATATATATATCTATCTATATGTATAAAATATTAAGGGAATGTTAGATACACCTAAGAGTTTTACTACTTCATAATCTTACCTCCTATGTTAAAAAGCCTGGTGAAAATTACTACTTCTAAAAAGGTTAAAAAACTGTTTAGATGTTAGAAAAACATGTATTAACAACACGCTTCAGAGAGCTAAAAAAATTTTACATTGACTCATTTTTTCATCATGTTAAAACCCAACCAAACAAAAAACCCCACAACTTTGTTTTCCAACCCTGTAATACTTACTCAAAGATAACATTTAAGTCTGACTAATATCAGTGTGGACTCTTTTTTTGTTCAGACTGACTACCAACATCTGAAACTTCAGGAAACTCCATCTGAAACTCTCAGGATTAATCACATTTTTCTGTTCCCTGATTTGAAGGGCAGAGGAGAGGGAAGAGAGCCTCAAAGGTTTTCAGTTATTGCCATTGGAAATTTCTGGGAATATTCTAGCAACTGCAAAGTCTTCTTGAAAGCATTTTGTTTCAGTAAAATTAAACTGCTAAGAATTCTAGGTATCAAATATGGCCCATGTGAATTCAGAACATACAAAACCAAGTCTGTATTAGTTGCTTAGCTGCAATAATCTAGAAAATAGGATTTAAGAAATATTCTACTAATTCTATGATATGTCAACTTCTGCAGTGCTTGTTTCCTCAGCAAACCCAATAAGTAGTTGTAATTTATTCAGCTTTACCCTACACCCCCCTTCAAGATTTACAACGATACATATCTCCAGCAATTTTCCCCAGGAGATCTTTTGTTTCTTCAACTTGAAAACATCCATTCACATCAAAAGCAAAGTCAGTACAGTTTATTATCCATTAGACAATTTGAATATGATTCTTCTGCTAAAGGCTGTGACTGCAGGCAGCCATCTGGGGTCTGAGCACACAAAAGGCTGTTCGGAAGGGTGTGCGCTCAAAAGCACCACGGGGACAGGGAAGTGTGTGCCTCACAAAGACACCCGATTGTCTTTGGTTTGCTGAGGGCTTTTTTTTTTCTTTTTTTTTTTTTGAGGGTGCCATAAGCATCTATTCAGAGAATTAAGCATGAGGGAGGCAGCACTCAGATGGCAGACGTCAGCTCCAGCAAGGACAGATGGTGAACAAAGGTGAAAAGCACACAAAGCGCGTGGGCCAGGAGAGCAATTCCACCCCTCCCTCGAAACCTCTTACAGCCCTTGTGACATCCTATGCTGTGAAGTGAGAGTGTGGCCCTACAGGGCCACTTTCCAGCACCTTACAGTACCTGCAGGCTCTCTGTTAATATCCTCTGTGAAGCATTGGCTGCCCTACCTGGGACGATGCACAGGGCTCACAGGAGAGATACCATCTCTGTGGAGGAAAACAACATGGACTGCAGCCCAGATACTGGTCTGGCTTTTTGTTCATCAAGGGGAATGAATCCCACCGACTCTCTTTTGGAAGAGAAGCTCAAGGTCTGAGGAAACAAAGAAAACAATCTCATTATTTAACTCACTCAGAATATACACCTGAAAACTATTATTCACTTATATTTCATTCTGTTACAATTGATTTAAAGATAGGGTTCATAAAGTAACAAGCAGCCCTCCAATAGAGCTTTTTCTTATGATGATTTATATGCAGTTTATGCAATGTCAGATATACTACAGCATACGTTCCACTGCTAACTAAACTCTGAAAGACTAAGGGTACTTGTAGCCCAAATTGTACTTCTCTAAAATTAAAAAAAAAATAAAAAAATAAAAATGTTTTACATCATGTTTATACAACAAGGATATAGTGACTCAACAGGCAACAAAGCCCAGATATTTAAATTAAGAGCAGAAATGCCAGCAGAAAAACTGAAAAATCGAAGAGATCATAGGTCAATTTAAACAAGCATAATCAGTCTTCTGATATGGCACAATTCTTGCTGAAATTGTAAAATACTTAAACTACTGCAGTTGCTGCTGTCTATGAGAGAAGAGTAAGTACTTTTTCCTTTTGTAATATTCTCTCTCTTAAAAACATATAATGAAATTAAAAAATGCAGAGGCACTTGCATAAGTGGGTGCACAAAACAACCTCTTAATTTTAAAAAAATTACTGTGGTCTGTCTTTCTTCGTATTCCAAGAAAGAGAGGAATATTTAAAAGTCTTGAAAGACTTTTCTTGTTTTGTGGAACGTTGCCCAGGCATAGACATGTTCAGCATCTTTGGGAAGGTTGTCACTTTAGACTCTGAAAATTGATCCATGAACAAATAGTAGCTCTTTGTGGATTAGCCCATCTGTCTGCCAGATGGGGGGAAAGGTGGTATTGTACTAACAGCTGCTCCAACAAGTTGTGCTGGTTTTGGCTGGGATAGAGTTAATTTTCTTCGTAGTAGCTGATATGGGGCTATGATTTGGATTTGTGCTGGAAACAGTGTTGAGAATGCAGAGATCTTTTTGTTACTGCTGAGCAGTAATTACACAGAATCAGGACTTGTGCTCCCACCAGCGAGTGGGCAGGGGGTGCACAAGGACTGGGAGGGAACACAGCCAGGACAGTGACCCCAAAAAAACTAGGGGGAAGAAGGAAGGGGGGAACATTCAGAGTGATGGTGTTGTTGTCCCAAGGAGCCCTGCTGTCCTGGGGATAACTGAACACCTCCCTGCCCGTGGGAAGTGGTGAATGAATTCCTTGTTGTGCTTTGCTTGCATGTATGGCTTTTGCTTTTCCTGTTAAACTGTATTTATCTCAGCCCACAGATTTTGTCACTTTTACTCTTCTGATTTACCTCCTTCTGACTGGGGGGGAGTGAGCAAGAGGCTGCATGGGGCTCATTCCCCAGCTGGGGTTAAGCCATGGCACAAGGACAGCAGGTCATGGAAGAACAAGGATGAGGAGTAAGGTGAGGAGAGCTGTTATTCAGGAAGCATGTAAATTTTGAATGAGATCAAGATGAGCAAATTTAGAAATGTGTCACTACCATATCAGCACAGAGAAGACACAAGGAAACTTTAAAGATGTGAAAAAGAAATGAAACAAAACTATGCTAATTTATTTATGGAAAGAAGGAAAAACTATTCAGGACTAATATAGAGTCACCTTTGTTATGTGCAGTTTTAGTGTAAAGGCCCCCAAACCTTGAGAACCAGGATTTCTTTTCTATCTCTATCACAGCAGAGCTCCAAACCTCAAAAATGAAAATTAAGTGCATGTGCAGTCAGAGATCTGCTTTGTTTTTTCACCTTTAGAGTTACACGTTAAGTCATCAATCAAATGGTCCTGTTCATATGGATGTAGCTAAGAGCCAGGCAGAATTTTCATTATATCAACCTACTTTTCTTACAAGTTAATGCTACTATCTGTTTTGTTTCTAAGGTGAGTCTGCTTCCCAAATTTTAGTCTTCATTTAGCTTGAGACAAACTCTGATATGCTATTAAAACATCCTACAAGCCAGTTAACAGCTTGAGTTTCCTTGAATTCATGGAGAGGAGAGGACATTTAATGGAAACTGTGGAGAGCGAGAGTGGAAAAATTAACGTTTTTCTGTAGTGGAATTCAAATAAGGACTTTGTAAACTCTAATTTCCTTCCTCCCTCCAGTTACTTGGATCAACACATAGCCTGCAACACAGCATTCCTGCTTACAAGCTATTCAGTTCTAATTAATTTCTTCCTCAATGCCATGATCCAGAGATTTTAACAGCAGAACTGCTTGTTGGGAAGGAGTGCTGTCACATACCTCACTTGGTGACACCAGGAAGAGCCAGTACACGAAACTGGATAGACCAAGAGCTCTTTTCCTTTGAAAGATCAACAAGTTTCTATCTAAAATAGTAGTTGCATGGTATTAAGATTTCACAGTGCTGAACTGCATGCATTTCAGCTGTTTCCACTTCTCTAGAAAATGCTACTTTTCTTCTATGAGGGAAGAAAGCAAAGCAAAGCTTGAGGACACAGTCACAGGAGGTGATGGTGGAGGGTGTGGAGGGAGATTTCACTGTTAGTTTTAGAACTCCAGCATTCCCTGTTAAAAACTTGACACTATAGAGGTAGAGTACTCAATCCTTCCCTCCAGAAATCATTTAGGAACACAAACCTCTCTTCCCTAAAATGTTTTGCCATGGGATGCTGAAGGCAACCATGACTGTGGAGTGTCAGCACCATCTGGGGCATCACCCACAGGACTTTGCCAGTGGAGCAGGGAGGAGAACAGGCCACTCTGGAAGCTCTGTAATTGCATGGTAGGTGAATTGTAAGTCAGCAGCTCTATCATTAAGCTGTAATAATATTACTGCCATGAAGAAAGCTTGGCTCAGAGATTGAGTTAAATTGTATGTTGTCAAACTGTGTTCACATTGGAAAATAAATGAACTCTAGTTCAAATGAAACTTCCCTTAATCATACCTCAACATTACCACATGGTTAATTAGAGGCTTTTTTTAATTAAAAAAAAAAGTTATTTAATAGACAAGATAGCAGGCTTTCAGAAGTTATATATATGCACCTAGTTATTTATTATATAGCTGATCTCCCATCCATATAAATTGCTTCTGCAGTTGCCACACACTTCAAAAAGCTTTTAACTGAAGCTCTTTAGATCAACACAAAGAACTCAGCTTTGACAAGATCCTTTACAGTTTCCTTAGGTTTAAAAAAAAAAAAAAAGTCACACATACAGGATGCCTAAAGCTTTTTTTTTTTTAAAAAAAATACGTCACACTCTCAAAAATGTATTCAAAAGTCTAAAAGATGAAAGGAGGAGGATGCTACAGAAAAACTAAAACCAACAAAAAGCACGTTCAGTAAAGAGGCACTCGCCAAGGCACATTTATTTAAAGTGAACTCTGTGAGCAGGACTGTGTATTGTTCAGCTGGAGAGCTTGGAACTGTCTCTCACGTCAGCAAACTCCCGAGGCAGTGACTCATGTCTTCCCAAGAGTCTGTGTCTGGCTTTGGGTTTTTGCAGGGGGCGTTGCATTTTCTTTGCTTTTGGCTTTTAAGAAGCAGGTGTTGGTTTTATTATTTAAATAATTGCTTGTTTGCTTTTGAAACATTTGAAACCTTGCTATTGAGACATGGGTACATGTGAATGTGTTTCTCTCTGGACTGCTAGATAGTTACACTCGAATGTGAATGGAATAAGGAACTCTTAAACGTTCTCTTTTTTTGTTTGTTTGTTTGTGTTTTTTTCTGAAAGTGGATCCAGATAGTTGAAAAAATTAAATACAATTCAACTGGCATTTCTAAATGTAGTGCAACTATATATATTTACAGATTTTCACTGCAGAAAAGGATTTGTTTACTAAACAAAAAAGTGTTGGTGTTTCTCCTGAAAACAAAACAAACGAAACCACAAAGTAAACAAAAAACTCCCACAAAAACATAAACATCCTAAGAACTAAAAACAACACCCTCAGAAATTCCAAGTAAGGAAAAGCCCAATTCAGATCTACAGATTTTTACCAAAAAAATTACAGAAAAATTTTTTATTCCTCAGTGCAAGATAGTATCTTTATGAACTTCTAAAATTAATGTTAAACATATCTATCTATTAAAAGTTAACTAAATTAAAGATCTGATTAATTATGTAACACTGAGACCATGAGGCATGTAGCTTGAAAAGTTGATGGGAAAAAAAATAAAAAACATTAATTGTAGGACCCTTTATAACCAATTTGAGCTACAAGAAATGGAAAAGTAGCCAAAACATATATAAATATATAAAACATAAATAAAAAACAAATAAAAACCATCTCTTAGCCAAATAAGGTATCAGCTTTTTTTCACTACAACATAGCAAAATGCAGGCTCTAGAAAATCATGTTATGGAAGCAGACAGATTGATTGATAACATTAATTCATGCTGCTGACAACTGAACTTGTAAATTGATGTAGTGTTGCTTTGAGAATATGGAAATTAGAAAAAAAAAAAGAAAATCAATATTTGGTACAGGTACCTGAAATATGTTAAGAAGCTGATTACAATTCAAATTTATTTTTAGGGACCCTTAAGCCGTTTCTAATTAAATGGTGGACTTTTTAAACCAAGTAGAACTGCAGATATCTCCATTTAGTATATTAGAACTGCAGATATCTCCATTTAGTATATTAGAACTGCAGATATCTCCATTATCTTGCCATAAAGGAATAGCTCAGGAAAGATGCTGGAAAAAAACAAGCTGATATGGAAATCTATTATTGTTCTTTTCTTAAAAAACACGGGGATTAATACCTGTTAATTGCATTAGCAAATCAGCACTAAAACAATGACAGGATTAACTAATCTTCAAGACAACGTACCAAAGTTTTAATTGATGTAAAACTTCACTGGAATTGCAGTTGGGAAATACTGAGGAGCAGCAGATGCACACTGGTGCGTCTCAGGCTGGGATCTCCCTGCCTGCCCACTCCCTGTGCCAGCAGCACTGCAGTGCTGGCTCCAGCCAGGAACCTCCCCAAGGTCAGCAAGGGACGAGGCAGAGGC